CCCCCCCCCCAACTTTTAATAATCACCAGGCAGATATGTTCGGGCTTTAATAAAGGGGATGCGATAAGATCACTCCTTGCTGGCAGGACTGCTCCTCGGTGCAGATAGATGCTGTGGGGGCTGGGCACGGGGGACAGTGCTGCATCGCTCAGTGTCCCAGCCATTAACCCCTCGGTGCCCACCACACAGCAAGGTCCCACAGAGCCGGGGGGACCACTCCACTCTCAGCAGCCTGCCTTGCCCTGCAGCCCTCCTGCAGCCTCGGGGAGCATGAGGATGCTGAGGGCAGGAACCTGTGTGGGTGCAGAGATTGTAGCCACTGTCACCCTCACTGGCAGCTGCGAATTAGGACCACAGGGACATGAGAGCAGCTTCCTCGGGGCAGCCTTGGGGTGTCCTGGTGGGGGGGGTGCCATGCTCAAGGACATCCCCATGCCTTGCACCAAAGGTGGGCATGGTCCCAGGACTCTCACAGTGCCTTGGTGCATGTCACACTGATGCCACATCCCCTATCCCTGTGCAAACCACCTCACCCCTGCTGATCCCCTGCTGATCTCTCCCTGTGCAGAACCACAATGACAGCAAAGTTATCCTCTACGAGGCTGAGAACTTCCAGGGGCACAAGTTTGAGCTGAGCGACGACTACCCCTCACTGCAGGCCATGGGCTGGGGCAACAAGGAGGTGGCATCCATCAAAGTGAACGCCGGAGCGTGAGTCCTGTCAGGGGGATGGAGGGAATGGGGGCCAAGAACAGGGGTTTGATAAGCACCTCTCTTCTGCATAACCCCAGGATGGGGAAAGTGGACCCCAAAAAGAAGGGAGGCACTCCTGCTCCTGCTACACTTTCCTTGAAAATCCAAGCCATGGGGTGTTTTCTGATCCTCTCCTTCCAGGGCAAGCAGAAGGATGGGATGGGATGGGATGGGATGTGATGTGATGGGAAGGGAGGAGAAGATTTGGCCTGGGGCTCTGAGCCAGGGATCTGTCTGCAGGTGGGTGGCATACCAGTACCCGGGATACAGGGGCTACCAGTACGTGCTGGAGCGGGACAGACAGAACGGCGAGTTCAAGAAGTACAATGAATACAGCAGCCAGGCCCACACCAACCAGATCCAATCCATCCGCCGCGTCCAGCACTGAGCAGGAGCAGGGCTGTATGCCCTGCAGCCTCCAGGCTGCTGTGCAATAGACCTCTATCCAGTAGCAAATAAAGGCATTTGTCAAAAAAAGGGTGCTCCTGCCTCTGCTCTGCTCCTCAGGGGGCTGCCACTCAGGGAGAATCCTCTGTGGGGTGGAAGGTGGGGTTTCCCCTCCCCAGGGTGGTTTTGGGCCATCTCCGCCCTGGGCCCCATCACTGCACCCCATGTCTTGTCCATGAACAGAGAGTAGAAGGGATGCAGAACAGTTCCACTTCTGCAATGCTCTGGCTGGGTAAATGGAAACTTACTGGGCAAAGGGCTGGAGCTGGGAGGGGGCACCTGGGAGGGTTGTGTCCTGGGAGGGGGCATCCAGGAGGGTTGTGCCCTGGGTTCTCCCAGGATCAGTGCCAGGGAAGTTGACTGCTACATAGTCTGTGAACTCAAGGTGCCCTCCCTCTGCATCCCCTCACTTTGCATCTCTGTGGAAGAAAGAAGGGGGGTCCCTGCCTGCTGCGGGCCAGGGAAGGAGGAAGAGCATAGGGATCATCTGAGGTGGGAGATTGGGATGGGACACTGCCACAAATGGGGTAATCACAGTTGTGTCAGGGTTGAGGGCACTAGCATAAAGGAGCTGGGGTGACGAGGGGCAGGCTGGTCGTGGGCAGGAGAACGGGATGGGACACTGCCACAAATGGGGTAATCACAGTTGTGTCAGGGTTGAGGGCACTAGCATACAGGAGCTGGGGTGACGAGGGGCAGGCTGTGTGTGTGCAGGAGACAGGGGAAGGAGGTCTCCAGGGCAGTGTCCCGCAGCTGGTAGGGGCTTGGCTTGATGGTCCCAGAACTCCTAGGGTCCAGGTGTGTCTGTGTTCCGTGTGTGTGTGTCCATGTCGTCGTCCTACCCCCCC